TTTTCATATTGTAGCTTGTTTTCAGGCAACATTTTGCCAACTTTTAGAATACGTTTAAATTAAGGCATAAGCTAAATATGGCTATCATCTGCCTGTCTATGCATTTCTCAGGCAATATCCGGTTAACGCCCTCTGGGGGCATTTACCATTGTGGTGTGATCTGGGTTATGTATACGCTTGCTAAATATAATCAAAGCACTGAATGTACTGATGGGGAGGCTATGAGAGAATGTTTCAGACTTATAGTGTCTTTTCTTTTTGCTTAAAATATGCTACCAAAATAAAAAGATATGCACATTGCGCTATTTATCCTTACTGTTGTGTTCAACCATTCATATATATGGTTAATGTGGTTGACTATTCATTTTGTTAATATTCCAGAACATTTCATTGAGGTCTACATTCGGACTGTTAATCATACAAATTTTGAAAAACCTAAACTGTCAATAATAAATGACATACCAGCAAGTATGACGACTGTTCATTATCAGATAACAATAACATTTTACAACTGACGGTTCCTTATCAAAATCACAGGAACTTGAAATTCTATCAAATAACCAATATTAATTATAATATCCAAATATACCCCCTATATACTATAAAAAAACACAAACACAGGAACTTGAAATTCTATCAAATAACCAATATTAATTATAATATCCAAATATACCCCCTATATACTATAAAAAAATTTATAGTATATAGGGGGTATATTTGGATATTATAATTAATATTGATTATTTGATAGAATTTCAAGTTCCTGTGTCAAAATATTCTAGGACTGTTCATCATAAATACTTTATGTCATTTTAATATTATTGAATGATAATAACAACTGCAAGTGATGCAACATTTTTATTGAACATAAAAATTATACACGTTTAGATGTACCATAATTGAGATCAATAAGATACTGTCTTGTGATGAATATTAATATTCATGCTCTACGGACAGAAGGTTGTCTTCTCCAGAAGCAAATCTCGAATAAAATCACGTTTCAGAAAATTATTCCCATTTCATTACTGACGGCGTCGGATAATATTAAAGCTAAATATTTCTTGAAAAAATACATATCTGCAAAGCTTATTCAAAACTGAATCAACCTAAGTGAAAATTGATCAGGAAGTTATATCTTCTTTTTTTACCGCCAACACTCAACCAACTAATGGTAGTTAATCGATAGCTTGTGTATTTTTAAACCTCACTAGCTTGAAATATATACTGCGGAAAATCTCTTGTTAACAGGGTGTGCGGTTATTACGTAGGGTTTTCCCTGTCGACCATTTCCTGCAAATAGATGAGAACACCGAAGCCGTCAGTGCTATGAATGATGTTATAAATGGCGTGTTTTGGAAGTTTTTGTTGAAACTTCTCCAATTTCCTCCAGAGGCGTGCACGTCGCGGAGAAGGCACACGGAAGGACATAGTCAAGTCATCATAAGTACCAGAGGTGATTGGTTGACCTGTCGTGACTTACTCTGGAGGTTTGGCGCTAATAGATGCCGTTTTTGTTGTCGTCAGTCAGAAAGTTGATGCCTTGACGGTATTGTCGTCTCCTTTACCACCAAAGAACGAAGAATGGGCTTCCAGGAAGAATCTGCTTGAAAAAGACGTCCCAGATGCTATAATCTCGGACATATGGTTATTCCGGCGCCGAGTATAAATAAACTTAAAACACACTCACTTTTGTTGAAAACAAAACAAAAAAAACAACAACACATTTTCTGTAGTAATTTTTCAAGTGTTGTAAAATGAATAAGAAATTCCTCTTATGCCGCCGATTATTTTTAGAACACAAACATAAAAGTTCTTTTTTTTATTTTTCAAATAAACATTAATCACTTCAGCGCGCGCAAATATCGTTTTCAAATTAAAGTTTCGTAAGATATGTTAATGACTTCCCGATGCTCGACTGTAAGTAATTTGTATATGTATGCGTTTTTTTTTTTGTTTTTGTTTTTTTAATTAAAGCTTCTTATTCTTTAATATTTTTTATGTATCTCATAATCTGTATTGAAAATTTGAATTTTATTACACATGGACTATCAAATTATGATGTATGCCCTAGAATTGAATAAACTTTCTAATTACACAATACGGGGTCATACTGATCTTTGCGTCTTTCTCTGAAATAATTATTTCTTTGTTAAAACATATTTGACCACATATTTCTGTCAATTAACTGTTCACTTTACTTCCGATTTTTGTTGTACGGAAACACATGTTTCTATTTGTGTTTTCTAATCAATTCGAATCTATAATCAGTTTAATGGGATCACCACCGGGTAAACGACTACTAGGTACTTTGGTCATGTTTTATACCCCAAATATTTGAATGTTTCTATTGGGATTAAAATGAGCATAGTTAAGTAAACAACTGGTTGTATAAATCCCTGACCTGTCTAATTCTAATTATGAGATCAGTGAATATATAAGACTTTCACTACAAAATATTCCTAAACAAAAGAGCACAAATTTATTCCTATACAAATAAAAGATCAGAGTAGGGATCTGTCAATTGCCAAATATACTTTTATGTTAAAAGTTTGATTAATGAATTATGTAAGATGAAAATATAAGTATTGCTTTTATATTTTGCTAATGTAAAATGTAATATTGTGCTGGAATTTTGTCGGAAGGTCCTTATAGGGGTTTTGTAGTTAAATAGTTTTTTCGGCGATAATGGTTCAAGAATATAATGTTTCAAACTATATGCTCATCACCATCAGTGAATTTTTAGTTAAATGTATGCAAAATATTTACTAACAGCTATGATATAGCGGTTTATGACCGTTTTCCGCGTACAGCCTCCTGGGGTGTACTAATAAGTTAGTTTTCCTTAGTTATCACGCAAGCATGATCCATGTCTCTGATGTAAGCGACAGTTTACAATTATTTGTCTTTAAAAAATATTAAGGACTTTTAATGGTTTATAACAACAAAAGAACATGCATGATATTGAGAATACGGCATTGTATATACACCGGTCTCAAATATCGTCAGTAAGACCGGTGTACACAATGGAGAATACGGTGTTGGAACGTTCTAGTTAATGACCCGTCATAAACAGTTGGTCGCTGCGTAGTAATTGGAAAATTGTTATCAAGAATAATAAAGAATATTTGCCACTAAATTAAAGCATTTACTTACAAATTTTCATTTATGCTTTTTGTTAAAAAAATATTGATAAAGTTATTATTTTGAAGGGTTTTCATACCAGAACTATTTATTACAGACATACGTATGCCTAAACCTGATTACCGCGGCAGTATGACGTCACGGAGTAGTGATTTAAACAAAAATCAAGAATTTTTCAGAGAATTATCATCTTTACAAATTGCAGATATGAAATTAAAGAATGAAAATATTTTCATATTGTAAATGTCTGTGATGAGTGATGAGTCAGCTTAGAAAAGATCAAGGTACTATTTTTTGACCTGATTACCGCGGCAGTGACCTGATTACCGCGGCAGTAAGATTTGACGAACAGTTATTAACATTGGGTCGGCATAGCCTCCCCAAAAATATATTTCCGTTAATTATCGTATAATTCCGTAGAAAGCACCTTTATTTCTATCTTAGACGTTCGGACTGATTCGTCAAAATATACGTGTGAACGGTTTCCCATGTTGAAGGCGTACAAAGCTCGGCTATAGTTACGTCCTTCAAAAAGTGTAAATAATGCTTCAAAATGCCTGTAAGCAGCACGGTCACGTGCTAAACCTATCAAATGAACCCAATCAAGAAATATAGCAGGATTTAACGGAGGCAGAAATAAAGATTCCTTGAAAATGCGTTAAATTCAATATCTTATACTATGGTCTCAACCCGGTACGGAATTAGACCGAACCCATTCTAGAAAGTAGTTCTTTGAAATTTTGAAATGGCTCAATTTAAGTCATCTCTAGTTAGATTGGTCATAATTAAAGTGTATTTATTGCATGTGTGTAGTTTTTTTTGTGTTATATGATGACTTTAAAAGTTGTTTTTTTTATGTATTCTCCAGGAACTCATTTGTTGGTGGAAGGATTAAAGATGTACTACCCACCAGCTGTCAGGAGTTTTTAAATTGGTGAATTTAAACAGTGTTACAACAGAATGAAGATTTCTGAAAAAAAGTAGATGGCTAACCTATTATATTTTTGGCCTCATTGGACTTAGATAGTGTTAATGTTTAAAGTTGAAGACAGTATATAATTCATCAAGAACAGTGGAATCCAGAATTAAGCCTCAAATTTGACTGATTTACTATAGAACAAATAGTACGAAAATTCACCGGGCCGCGTCCAAGACAAGAAATGAGAACAAGAGCTGTCACAGGAGACAGCGAAGCTCGACTAATAAAATACTGGACGCAGTAAGGAGGACAAAACTATGAAAGAAAAATCAATTATGTATAATTATGTATTAAGTTATAGTAAAAAAACATTTGTTAACATAAATTCCAAGATCAAGGGGAATAATTCTAGAAATAGTCACACTAGAGTTATGAACCTTGTCACACAACATGTGTGTAATGATAAGAAATATATATTTGAAGTTTGAAGTAGATACCTTAAAAAGTAAAGAAGTTATAATATTTCTTAAAGAAAATCCTAAGTTCAAAGAGAGATAAATCTGTAAATATTGCTTCAAGAGTTATGAACATTGTCACATAAAATGTAATTGATGATAAGGAATAAGTATTTGAAGTTTGAGGTAGATACCTTTAAATCTAAAAAAGTTATAGTAAAAAATAATATTTTTTAAGGAAAATTCTAAGTTCAAGGGGAGTTAAATCTGAAAATATTGGTGCTAGAGTTATGAACCTTGTCACATAAGATGGGGATGATGATAAGGTACATATATTTGAAGTATGAGGTTGATCCCTTAACAAATAAAGAAGTAACAGTAAAAAATAGTATTTTTTGAGGAAAATTCTAAGTTCAAGGGGAGATAAATCTGAAAATATTGGTGCTAGAGTTATGAACCTTGTCACATAAGATGTGGTTGATGATAAGGAACATATATTTGAAGTTTGAAGTTGATACCTTAAGAAATGACAAAGTTATAGTGAAAAATATTTTACTGCACCAAAACTTTAATCTGAAATCTGGACGCCGACGCCGACGCCGAGGCGAGTAGGACAGCTCTCCATATACTTCGTATAGTCGAGCTAAAAATGGGAACTGGTTGATGGATATGGATGAAACTTTGCATCAGTGTTGTGTTTATGAATAGAAGTCAGGATAATAAAGGATAACTGACAGGTTTGAATATTTTAAATTTTATTTCAAATTTCAAATTTTGACATTTCAAATTGGGACATATGTTGTTATTGTTATCTCCTCTTCAAATGTAGATGTCTGCTACTGTGTCAGTAAGAAGGGTACAGAGCTTTTGCACGAAAGATTAACCACATTTTATTGAATTAAAAATGTAAAAATAAATTAAAAATTAAAAAATGAAATTTAAATTTTGTAAAAAGCAGTTTATAAATTGATAAATTTTATGTTTAGCAATGTACTATAAATCTAGCTTTTTTATACGATTTATATAGAAAATGATAATTTTTAGAGAAAAGCATCTTAAATTATGGATAAACTATGCATTGCAACGAATTGGGGAGTGTGTGGTTTCAGATTGGTTACATTGGTAAAAAAAGTGATTGGCAAGCTCATTCCAGAGATCTTAGGGGCCCAAGAAGCACCGGCCATGGGATTCGAACAAGCACCATAGTAGCCTATTGCTCATATGGACCACACATTATATGTTTTGATGTTTCAGCAAAGGATTGATGCTGTAGTAATCAGTATGTAAATATTCACTATTGTCTTGTATTTCAATGAAGCAGAACTGACAATTAAACAGGACAAATGTGATTTATATTTTGGAAATATATAGTCCAAGAAATCCGTGCATAATATAGGGTGAATTGATCACCTTATGTGAAAAGCATGAAGCTTGGCATGATGGCAGGAAATAGTATTTCAATTCATTTTAGCCTGGGATCCACTTTTTAAAAATCCAATATGGCCGCCAAAATCCAAGATGGCCGCCATATATTAAAATTTTCAGAATATTTGGGTATTTCAGCTGTAGTCATACCTAGAGTAGTATAAAAAGCATCAGTGCATTATATTACAGGTTAATTTATATTCAAGCCTCTGATCCAGGTTGTGCAAATTCAAAATGGCGGCCAAAATCCAAGATGGCCGCCATTTATTATTTTTTCAAAATATTAAAGCTTTCCAGCTGTATGTTTTACAGGTCAGTATAAAATAGCACCACTTTATTTTATTACACATTTATATATATTCAAGCCTCGGATCCAGGTTGTGCAAATCCAAGATGGCTGCCAAAATCCAAGATGGCCGCCATATTAAAATTTTCAGAATGTAATAGTTTTCAGCTGTTGTCGTCATTACAGAACAGTATAAAATAACACCAATTTAAAATTATGGTATTGCATATTTATTTATATTCAAGCCTCGGATCTAGGGTTTACATATCCAACATGCTTGCAAAAATTCAAGATGGCCACCATGTTGAAATTTTCAGATTTCGTTAGCTCACCAGCTGTAATCATTTTCAAATTAGTATAAAATAGCACAAATTCATTATATTACATGTTTTTTTAAACATATCAGCATGAAGTAAATTTTTGGGAGACGTATTGTATTTGCCTTCGCCGTCTGTCTATCACGGTTCGTCCGCATTAAGCTTGTCCATCCTTCACAGGTCAAACTACAGGTGGGATTTCAACTTAACTTTACAGAAGTAATCAGTACCATCCCGACTTGCGGACATCACTGTCACGTTCCGCTTCGCTGCACAAAATGGCCGCCAGAGCTAAAAACAGAAATATCTTGCCTGGTCTTCACTGGTCAAACTACTGGTTGAATATCAACCAAACTTTACAGGAGAGAGCAGTATCATCCCTAGTTGCGCATAAAAATCACCAACACGTTTCGCTTCGCTGCGAAAAAATGGTCGTCAGAGCTATAAATTAAAAAATATTGTCCGGCTTTCACAGGTCAAGTTACTGGTCGAATTTCAATGAAACTTCCGATGAGTGACCATGCATAGTTTTGGGAGACATATGCTTTTGTGACAATAACCCATTTAGTTATGAAACTGTTTTAAAGCATCCGATTCATATTGAAATATGCTCATAATTAAATTGCTCAGATTATTTTTTAAAAGCATTTTTACTTGATTTACGAAAACTCAAAAGAAGCAAAAGAATATTTAAAACAAAAAAAAGAAGTTAAACCATCTCATAATTTCATTATCTGCCCTCGAATAAAAATTTCTTTGCTAATTTTAGGTAATTTCAAGGGCAAGTAACTTGCAATCAAACGTAGTAGTGCCATATTCCAATGATATAATATGTAGCTGACCTCCTATTGTGTCATTGTGCAAGTGCTAAAGGAATGGTATAGAAACTTTTGTATATTTTTACCAACAGCTTTGTAATTTTCCCTAAAAGGAAAACACTTCATAATAATAATTTCAGAGAATTCTAGACTGTGTAATTTGTATTTTGATAAGAATAAAAAGTTAAACGTAACCCAAGACTACTTGAAGTAGTTTATGTTCAGAGTCAAAAGTGACCAGTTCTTAAAAAAAATGTGGATACTAGGCTAGTAAATTGCTGAAAATGTTAGAAATAATGATATTTCAACAGTTGTACATCAGGTTGTTTTTATTCTAACTAAAGCAAGGTAATGTTTAAAGTGTTATCAACTAATACTAATCAGTATAGACAAGAAAATTTTAGTCAATTATTTACAATTAACATCTACATGTTTTGATGTACCGAATGTCTGTCAAGTTAAGGTCAATTGTTCATTGTTATTGTGATTCTAGAAGGACTAAATAGAAAAAAAAATAAATAAAAAAAGCTGAACAAATGACTACCTCATGAATTAAGCTAAATGCGGCATGATTTCACTAGTTCTTGTGAACAGTCCTTTTATGACAGTTGTGGAAACCAAACAGAAATAATTTAATCTAAGTAAACAATTTATAATTTGTTAAAGTTTTTTCATTGTTTTTGAAATACAAAAAAAAATTAGTATTATAAATCAACTATTTTACTGTAATATAATATTCACATGAGTGACCATGCATAATCACACGATTTACAATGCATAGTTTTGGGAGACATATGTTTTTGTGACAAAAACCCATTTAGTTATGAACAGTTAAAAATCCAACATTAAACAAGAGGTGCACAATTCACCCTCTTTAACATCTAGGACGCATTCTGATATCTAAGTAAACAATTTATAATTTGTTAAAGTTTTTCCATTGTTTTTGAAATACAAAAAACTGAGGTTATAAATCAACAATAATACTGTAATATCAGAAAAGACATATGCATATGTAAGGCTTAATCAGGCATTTCAACTACTTTAAAATATAAAAGGGAGAAATTAACAAGAAATTCAAGAGCGTTGTCCCTTGAATGCAGCCCGAAATTCGCAGTAAGTCAGTAAGTTAGCATCTCAATCTTACATTTGGAATTATCAAATAGAAAGAGCTGCAAAAGTCTAAACTTGATCTCATATAAAGTCACGAATTACTGATCTTAATAATGCCAAACACTTAAGTTTGATTACACAAAAACCCAAGATATTTTTGTTCAATATCATTCTGTTTTTCTTGTTTATTCACAAGACCTTGCCAAAATAATGACATAATAAGAGTCTGATTCCGTTATCTATGAAACAAAATATGCTGCTTAAATTACTAATGAAAAAGAGCTCACAGCTGCAGTAAGACGATCACAAGGATGATGATGCAAAATAATTTTATAAAAAAATTGACAGGAGCAGAAACCCTTACGTCTTCGACACTTTGTAGTACAAATCATACTGAACATTTGGTTCAAATTAAGCTAAGGAATTGTGTGCACTAAAATATACAATACAATAGAGGATTAATTCACACTTTTCATGCATAAACATCTACAGAAGCGCGAGGAGGCATTCAGAGCCCTCATTCTATGGGGTCAGGTTTCAATTTCTGTAGATGTTGATGCACTTAATAATGTTTAAGTCATTCTGTTTCGGTGATTCTACGATATGTTGTTTTCCGCATAAAGAAACTGGTTTTGTATTGATTTTAACTTTAATTTTTGTGTGTTATGTTTTGATAATAAGGTAACTGGGGATCATTATTAAAATCAGCGGCTTTGCATGGTATCAGAATCATGCAAATTGACAAGAGCTATCAGTAGGACATCATAGAGTGCTTGACTGTTCTCGGTGCTTTAAAGCTAAAAAAGAACCTAGATTATGAAGAATTCTCTATATTTAAAAGGGACATAATTCTGTCAAAATCCATGATAGAGTTATTGACCTTTAACGGTGACCTTCTATTATGCTAAAAAATAAGTGTATTAGGGTTTAGCATATTCCATCATATATTTTTTACAAAACCAACTTGCATGAAAAAACATTGTAAAGCTGACGCCTTTGGTGTACAATATCACTCGCTCCCTATTCTTTGAAATATCAAGCGAAAAAATGTGCTCGCATGGTTTATCCATAAATGTAAGTTTTTTCTCTGTAAATGTACATCTGTGTGTGCAGGTTTTATGCAGGAATGCCATTTTTTTAAATGTTATATTTATGGAAAGTGTTAAGATACAAATTACCTTTATATTAGAAATTTGTCAAAATATAATCATTTAATGGCAGCCATATTGGATTTTGAAGCCATATTGAATTTTCTACCAATGCTACTTTAGCATTTTTCCAAGAAATTACTATTTTTGACCTATAATGTTAATTTATATCATTTTCTTATCATAAATAACTTCATTTTGACATGTCCTGTGTACATTTTTCATTTTGGTGGCCATCTTGGATTTCGGCGGCCATCTTGGATTTTTAAAAAGTGGATCCCAGGCTGAAATAACTTGAAATACCATTCCTTGACACCATGCCAAGTTTCATGCTTTTCACAGAAGGTGCACAATTTTTTCACAAATTTCTTGGACTAATAGGCATTTTCAGTGTACATGTAGTGAAACTTGATGTTTTGCTGTGTTGCAGAATGTATTTGCTATTAATATATACACATAAAAGATTTTCTAGTCATTAAACAGTGTTTTTTGTGGATAATTGGCTGATTAAGAATAACACAGTTGATATGATTGTTGTTGTTGTTGTAGCTGCTACAGCAGTTAAATTAGGTTAGGTTTACAATGTCTAAACTGCTATTTTCATGCAGGCATGCATTTTTCAGCACACAATATTTATATATGCTCTCCTGTGTGAATTAGCAAATCTAGCCATTGATTAATTAAGACATTATTTTCTTTCTTTTTCAGATATCAGAATTACAGCATAAATGCCTCTTATTATTTTTTAGGCATGTACTAGTGTTGCATATTTTTTCAGACTGTGCAGTTACCAAAGCCTGGGTTTGAGTACAGGACCTTACCTTATCCTGGTAAAGATCTATGGAAGGACTCCTTCAGCTCAGTTTGGCAGCAGCTTTGTCAGGACACATTGAGAAGGTTATAACTTATGTCTAGTTTGAAACTTCAGCTATTGACGGTAGCGACTCCCAGTGCTCGGGCAATATTTGGTAGTTATTTTGATGTATATCAGGAGAAAATTTCTCTAATTCTGACTATATTAAGACTTCTCAATGATTTAAAGTGGGAGACGGTATGTGTCATCTTTTTTTAAGCCTTATTTGTGTGAGAGTTGGCTAATCTTACTTTGTCAGAAGACATAGCCCATGGTGATATGGTAACCTCTTTGCTAACCTTAAGATTACCTCTGTTTGTCTTTATTGATATCTTAAGCAAACAATGTAGGGTGTGTATGTTGGTTCTTTACTTTATTTACCATGGTATATAGGTAAAAATCATAATCAGTAAGTTTTATTACAATATTGAAGGAAAAAGTTATGAAAAAAGCACATTTATTTGTGATTACTTGTATTTTAACCCAAAATTTCATGCTCTCATTTAAAGAAATGGAGTTTCTATTACAATTTTTAAGCAATAAGGTCTTAATCTTTCATAAAAATAACTGTATGACATTAGCCGGTAACATTTAACTTTTTGAAGACAGTACATAATTCATGAAGAACAGTGGAATCCAGAATTAAGCCTCAAATTTGACTGATTTACTATAGAACAAATAGTACGAAAATTCACCGGCCCGCGTCCCTATGTGGCTAAAACCCGTCCATTGAGCGTAAATTTCACAATTTCTGTTCGACATTTATTCAACGTGTCACTTTAATTCATTAATAATAGCAATCACGAAAGTCACAAAATTATTGGGAGTTTAATTTTCCAACCTTTTTATGTATTAATCCATATATGTTAGTAACACATGAAACAAATTTCAATAGGGTCCACTACACTTGAAAAAATACTGAATGATTATAATGATTCTTACCCGGGTGATTTCCATTTTACCAACAATATGCTCATTCTGTAAATTTATGGAAGTTACTATGACACTTCAACCTAAAGATTGCATCTGAAAGGAAATCCTTTTCCCTGAGAAAACATATCCTTCAGTGGCATGTTATATATGCAGAAATATTATAGCTGTCTCATATGAGCCTCGTCATGACAAAACCAACATAATGGGTTTGCGACCAGCATTGATCCAGACCAGCCTGCGCATCCGCGCAGTCTGATCAGGATCAATGCTGTTCGCATACAAACTCTATAACAAGTAGAAAACCGATAGTGAACAGCATGGATCCTGATCAGACTGCAAACCCATTATGTTGGTTTTGTCATGACGCGGCTCATATATACTCTGGTTACCTGCCCCGAGTGAGATAACCATACATACATGAGTATACATACATAGCGACAGATATATCTTATATATACTAATACGCTACTGAAGGGGAATTTCTCCCCGGGAATAGGGTTTCGTTAGGAAGTTTGATATTTTAGAATTATATTGACCCGTTGACAAGATTTCAACATTTGCCAAAATGTTATAGGATTTTTACTACATTTAAGTAACTCGTTTCTTTTAGTATGCTGACAAAGGCGCTTTTTTATATAACAATATAATACTATTCTGAAATTCTTAATCATTCGTCCATCGAAATCTTCATAACGCACCGTACTTAGTTTCTTTCTAGTTTTTGCTAGTAAATATGAAATAATAAATCTCATTATATGGAACCCGATACATGATGGAAATATTTTAAAGGTTTACTATGGAAGGATGATCTTCCAGGATTTAATCATATTAATTTGATTGAGAATGACTTAACCGACGAACAAAAAGCTATTTTGAATTCGGAGATAACTACAGATAAATTTTTAAAAAATATATGAGCCCCGTCACGACAAAACCAACATAGTGCGTTGGCGACCAGCATGGATCCAGACCAGCCTGCGCATCCGTGCTGTTCGCTATCAGTTTCTCTACTTGTAATAGGGTTGGTAAGCGAACATCATGGATCCTGATCAGACTGCGCGGATGCGCAGACTGGTCTGGATCCATGCTGGTCGCAAACGCACTGTGTTGGTTTTGTCGTGACGCGGCTCATATACAATTTAAGAATCGAGAAATCGCAAGGAAAAGACGGCTTTGAGGCAGAATTTTATAAATCGTCATCCAAAATCATTACGCCTTTTTTTTATATAGATTATTAAATAGAATATAATTTTTTAGACTGGCGATTTTCCAAATACTTGGAGAGACAATATTATTGTACCTGTGATATAAGTCTGGTAATAAATTAGAACCATCAAATTTTAGATAAATGTAATGTTTAAAACATTCTCATATATTATTTACGATAGGTTATGTACATGGGCCGAAGAATTTAGCAAAAATGACGAGGCTCAAGCAGGGTTTGGGGTAGGATTTTCCACATTAGATAATATATATACTTTGCAAAGTTTAGTACAAAAGCATCTTAGTTGTAGATTTTGTGTTCTTAATGTTGATTTTCAAAAGGCCTATGATTGTTTTTACACCACAAATTGTTTAATTGTTTACATAAGGTCGGGGTTAGGAGATATAATTGCGCGTACTTATTTCTATGTATTCAAATTTACGCGGTTTTGTCAGAGTAGAAGCTGTAATGTTGGTACAAGACAAGAGGACGTAACTGATACAATAATTTTCAATGTTTGAGTTATCTCGCTTCCTACGAACAAAAGGTCATCGAGGCATTTCGTTACAAACCAAATTCATGATTATATGTATAATATGTATCATTTTTGCAAAAGACGTTGTAAGTTCCACCGAAACAGCAATTAAAATGCAATTACAATTAAATACCTTTGTAGATTTTTGTAATAATTGAGAATGACTATAAATCAGTCGAGAACCGAAATAATCGTGTTTAGAAATTGCGGTCCATTAACGTCATACAAACGTTGGTTATATAATGGTGGACTTGTAAATATTACATCATGTAACAAACATGGGATTAATATTTACACCCGGTCCGAAACATTCTTGTTCTAAAGCAAAAGCGAAACTTGCTGCACAAGCCAAAAAATATATTTTTGCTATTAAATCATACCAGAGAACTTTTGGATATATTTCAAACAATGAATATTTTAAATTATTTGATTCAATGGTCAAACCTAATCTCACTTATGGAGCTGAAATGAATTAGTGCTGAATATTCGGATATTTAAGAGCAAGTTCATATTCAATATTGTGAAGATTTCTTTGGTGTTAATACTTCTGTAAATGATTGTGCAGCTTTGGGAGAATATGATAGACTTCCACTGTGTATTGACCATCATATCAAATGTATAAAACACTGGATCAAACATTTATGCATGTCTGATAAAAGATATCCAAGACATTGTTATTTAATGTTGAAACAACAGGATAGTGTATGAAAAATTAATTGGCATCTTCTATTAGAAATATTTTTATAGGCATTGCTTTGGATTTGTTTGGTTAAACCAAACTTTTGGTGATATTAATGTGTGTTCTCTCTTGCTTTTAACAAAGACTTGTTGATTGTAAATTGCAAAACTGGCATTAAAAATACATTATTCGTCTTGTTGTGATACATATAAGGTTGACCCTGAAAGTTATTTATGTATTAATCTACCATTATATAGAAGAAAAGCATTTGCAAAATTCCGTTAATCAATTCATAGAAATTGGAACTGGACGTTATATTGGTCTTCCAAGAGAAGATCGTAATTGTCAATATTGTTATGTTAATTTTGATACACGGTGTCTTGAAGATAAATTTCATACATTCCTTAAATGAACGACAACAATTTTTATTAAACTGGTATAATAGTAGATTTGCAAACCAGGATTTTTATAATTTAATGCAGTGTTCTGAGGATGACAAAATAAGGTCAGTTGCATTTTTTGTACACGACATTATGAAACATGAAATGTATAATAACATGACACAACAAAAAAAATTTTTATGTTATATTGTATACGCTGTATTTTGGGCCAGAAACCTTTATTAAGTTTAAGCACAAATATATAGTAATTGTTCAATTTTAAATTGATGCTTTTTTTTTCAACCCACAAACCAAACTGACATTATTTTATTTTCCTTCTTAGAGGATGTTCATGGAAAACTAAATCAGAAGTCGTAATGTCGTTTTCTATAAACAACTGCTTTCAATAAGATTATTAACATTAAGTGTTTTCTGTATGAATATATTTAAATAATCAATGATTACTCAAATGATAATGAATTCAATACCGTAATTTCAGATTATATGTGACAAAATTCATTTCTGATAAATAGTACTCTTTTATGAATAAAAAAAAAGTAGAACATTATGGACAATCTTTAAATGGGATTAAATGTTAACCCCTTATGCTTAAAATGCTACTACTCGTGCATTGTGAGTTAGATTGGTTCATTGAGCAATTCATCAAATACATGTACATGTGTACGAAACATTTCTACAGATTATTTTAAATTTTACAAAATGATAATTGTTTTTCTTGTAAGAATAATTGAATGTAGACTCAATGTAGAGGCGAATTGGTGATTGGTAGAATAGGTTTAAGCAATTTATCAAACGATTATTATACCTAAGTTTATTTTCGAGTGATTCAATTTAAAGTCAGCTTTATTTAATCCAATTGTCTGAGTTTGCTAAGAATAGTTTTTAGAAATTAATTTATATATGAGCCGCGTCACGACAAAACTAACATAGTGCATTTGCGACCAGCATGGATCCAGACCAGCCTGCGCATCCGCGCAGTCTGCTCAGGATCAATGCTGTTCGCTATCAGTTTCTCTACTTGTGATAGAGTTGGTAAACGAACAGTATGGATTCTGTTCAGAATGCGCGGATGATTATATCAGCAAATAATTACTTAATAAACTGTTTTCTCCGAAAAGAAAGGAAAGTCAAATTGTTACATTTTTATACTTTCAACTATTATGAAGTATTGTTGCCTAATTATAAGTATGTATAGACAATTAAATTCATGAAACATTGATTTCTAAATCTTTTTTTTTCTTTCATGTGAAACTAAAATTATATATATATAACAGATACCGTTGGTCTAGTGGTTGAGGCGTCAGCCTTCGGATCGGGAGGTCGAAGGATCGAGCCCCACGGGGAGCGTTAATTGCAAGATGAATGTTTCTCGTGGGACTCGTTCCGAAATGGCCGCTTCGTGAGCCGCGAGGTAGTTTAAATGAATGGTTACCGATTTCTATCCGCCTAGCATAGTGGTAGGAGTTGGGAGGTACATGGTATGCAGAGCAAAATGTGTCTTATAAGTCAGAAATGGCTGGCCCTTTCCCGAAGGTGTGACACTATAATGAACAAAACCTTGTAAATTTACTGAATATAATATGTTTTAACAAACTGGTATTGTTTTAACTTCCCTGCAATGAACAATTTGATTTCGATTAATGTTTTTTTTCTAGATTGCTTAAGTGTGGAAGAGTGTTTGAGAATTTCTCTACCATGTTCATTGTATCTGACGATTAAATCTTCAGAAATTTAAATGTTTATCATCAAGAAATGATTACTTTGAATGAACCGTCTAACCGCTATTTGGGTTTGCGACCAGCATGGATCCAGACCAGCCTGCGCATCCGCGCAGTCTGATCAGGATACATGCTGTTCGCTGTCAGTTTCTCCACTTGTAATAGAGTTGGTAAGCGAACAGCATGGATCCTGATCAGACTGCGCGGATGCGCAGGCTGGTCTGGATCCATGCTGGTCGCAAACCCACTATGTTGGTTTTGTCATGACGCGGCTCATTTGTTATTTTAACGTCACACGATGCACTTCTTGCAATAGTTTTATATGACCTAAAAGTAGCAATACAGCTCTGCAAAGCTTAACATTGAAACTTGTCGTTTAATTGAACGTAAAACAATCAAAATAATTATAAATCTTGATATTTACGAGTTATTTTTGAAATTTCTAGTGATGCGTTTCTAAAATAAATAGACATATAACATAAACATGATTAAATGTATGTTCGTATAATTTGTTTGGTATCAAGAGAGATGACAGTAAGTTAGTACCGTAAATTGATTAATGCTTTACGGTACCACAGTTAGTGGTTTTAAGGTTATAACTTTTTTTGTCATACCATTTGATCTTGGAAAATATGAAGTGGATGATGTAAACCGTTATTAATAGTACATCCATGTCACCAATTTTAAATTTTATACGTGTTTTGTTTCTAACTATGAAGTTTTATAAAATATGAGCAAAATCACAAAAATAAAAATAAAATGACAGACAAGTTGAAAAAAAAAAATTTCAAAACAATGGTCCGGCTTACCACCTGCTACAAAGTATGTGTCGATGCTTGTTTATAAACTTTTGCAATTGTAATTACATTTGCTTATTATCTGAGCTATCAAATGTTATTATGGTAAGTTGATGCATGTTTATAAATAAAATGTGATGATTATTATAGTGTGATAAGTTAATATCTATCAGATATAACTATTTGTTGTTTTGTGGAATATATTGAACATTAAAATAGTCCCCTTATTGCAGAATACAAGGACTTTATGTCAGTAACTTTATATACGAATACGGAGAAATCTTAACACTAAATGTTTCTTTTTTAGTGAACCTTAATGACATTAAATCGATTCTGATTCCGTTTATTAAATCAGCGTTCCAAGACTATTTGATCAGCAAAGAACTTTATAGAAAAATATACACATGACACATGAGCACAAAATTCTTGATTTACAACATATTTTACGTATTTTGTTATTATAATCACTGTTGGCCGGTGTATCTGATATATTCATACGAAAGTATAAATGTTTTATGTAAAATGGTGTATTTTTCGGATCTGCTGTGCTGGTCGGTTTGTAGCCCAACATATTGTGTGTCAGTGCTTCTGTTATATACGAGGGCTGCCTATCGTAAAGACATATATCTTTGTTATTTCAGTTTCAGAGAATGTTTTCTGGAATATGTGAGCTTGTAAATAACTTGCATAAAAATGCCACGATGTACTAAAAATGACCTTTCTGCGGCCATACGTTACGAATTTTCCTGACTTTGCTTGTTTAAATAAAAAAGTACTTTTTTTCAAACCTAACGAGAATCAAACGTTTCTCCATATTTGGAAACTGCCACATAGACCACTGAATAGTTTCACCTAATGATTTTACTTAATAGATATCGTGCATAATATCAGAAAATACAGATAAGTGGAGCAGGAATTTGAAATTCTCTTCTTGATGATTGGATGAAAAGCACAAAAGGGACAGAGTGAACTATAAAAGGACCATATATTTGGATTAAAATCAACAATGAGGAGCAACATTCCCATTATATTCCCAGTATGCACCTGCACTCGTAAAGGCACTAAACAGAAAAAGTGCAAACAATCATAGTGGTCTATAGACGACGAGGAGGGAGAGGAAAAAGAAACTATCATAGTAGTCTCTAGACGACGAGGAAGGTGAGGAAAAAGAAACTATCATAGAGGTCTATAGACGACGAGGAAGGTGAGGAAAAGGAAACGAAAAAGAAACTATCATAGTGGTCTCTAGACGACGAGGAGGGAGAGGAAAAAGAAACTATCATAGTGGTCTCTAGACGACGAGGAAGGAGAGGAAAAAGAAACTATCATAGTGGTCTCTAGACGACGAGGAGGGAGAGGGAAAAAGAAACTATCATAGTGGTCTCTAGACGACGAGGAGGGAGAGGAAAAAGAAACTATCATAGTGGTCTCTAGACGACGAGGAAGGTGAGGAAAAAGAAACTATCATAGTAGTCTCTAGACGACGAGGAATGTGAGGAAAAAGAAACTATCATAGAGGTCTATAGACGACGAGGCAGGAGAGGAAAAAGAAACTATCATAGTGGTCTATAGACGACGAGGCAGGAGAGGAAAAAAGAAACTATCATAGTGGTCTCTAGACGACGAGGAAGGTGAGGAAAAGAAACTATCATAGTGGTCTATAGACGACGAGGAAGGTGAGGAAAAAGAAACTATCATAGAGGTCTATAGACGACGAGGAAGGTGAGGAAAAAGAAAACTATCATAGTGGTCTATAGACGACGAGGCAGGAGAGGAAAAAGAAACTATCATAGTGGTCTCTAGACGACGAGGAAGGTGAGGAAAAAGAAACTATCATAGTGGTCTATAGACGACGAGGAAGGAGAGGAAAAAGAAAATATCATAGTGGTCTCTAGACGACGAGGAAGGAGAGGAAAAAGAAACTATCATAGTGGTCGCTAGACGACGAGAACAACAACAACAACAACAATAAAAATAATAATAATAATAATAATAATAATTATTATTATTATTATTATAATCATTATTATTATTATTATCATTGACAAAATTAAATAAGACAAATCCGTTATGAATGATTTTTGTTTTTGTTTGACAAAACAGACAATTCAGAGCCTCATCCATTCAAAGCGAAGAATATATATTATATCCATGATTCTGTTTGCTATTGTGTAGTGACCATATCAACTGTTGACTTTTCTCTTTAGCATCTCATCATCTATATGAAACAATTATGATAAAATTATTAAATTTTCAATACAGGTAATTAATCTATATCACTTTTAAGAGAATTTAATTAATGACAGGGTATCGGTTAACATTTTTATATCATTCTTTAAAAATATATTTTTCACTGAAATGATATTAATATAATTAGAACACAAAAAGGGATAGTATCAGTTCTTCCATACGTAACAGTTTTCTTGATTACAATGACAACAAGACAGCCTGTTCTTAGTGTCTGCCAATTCCTAAGAATATCTTTTTTTAAATATTTTTTAAGTTTTAGCCAGTCTAATTTTTAATTTACAGACAAGGTTTCTTTTGCACATCGGGTGGGTGATCACATGTCCTTTATGTAAAATAAATAAATACATGCATGATATAAACAGATATCACGTGATTACCAACCCCTTTTTTTCTTCAATCAAATTAAAACATCAATTGTTGCTTAATAATAACAAAGAACAGAGAACAAAGGTATCCCTATAGAACATCTAAAATCGATAAAATTGAAATTGTTGAAGGAGCATATTCATGGCTGACTTGATGGTGTACAATATCCTGTGAGGTTGCCAGTAGAATTTCTATTACTGCTATGATTGAGAAAAATATTTACTTATTACTCATAACAATGTACATTCTATTATATATTCTAAGTATCATATTGTACTTTGTGTTACCATGATCACGTGACGTGATAATTGTTTTATTTATCCATATGCATGACGATGTACTATGTACAAGTCTAAATAAAACGTATGTTCTGTTCTGTTCTGTTCTTGAAAATGAATCCATATTAAATTAAATGTTGCTTGAACAAACAGTTCTATTCAAAATATTGATATGAAATTGTAAATATAGAATATTACAAGGTTTTCGTGCAACAAATACCTGTAACTGTGTTATTTCCTCTTTATCTATGTAATACGACAAACCCCATCTTGATGAAATATCAAGCCATTTGATCATTAAGACATCTCTCCACGATGAACCACAATCTTCATTGCCGTTCTTGAGAATACCAGTGAGACTACAGCTAAACACATCTTGTGTGATGCTATAAACCATTGAAATTGTTTATATATTATATACATGTATGTGTTACATCGCAACTAACATACTGCACAGCTCTTAACACAAACTCATATGTTGTTTTGTCTACACAGCATAGTTATTCCTTTCATTATCTTTTAACAACATCAATATTGACAAAAAGGGGTATCTATAAATCTTATATTAAATCATACTATTTGTCGCCTTACCATTTACTCATTTTTATGCGTTTAGCATAAAAGTGAAGTTGTAAAATGTTCGCTCTTTGAGTGTAGAGACCCTGGTTCGGATCATAAAAAGTAATTATTATTTTTTTTTAAAGTCTTTTTACAACGTTTTTAAATATATTTATGTATGTGTATTTGAATATGTTACAGTGTTATGTAGTACCTGAACAGAATAAAATATGCATTAAATTCAAAACTTACTTTCTGTCTAAATCGGCAAGTTCTGAGAAGGTAGGACTGTCATCCTTGGGAGATGATTTGGGTAGGCAAGAATACAATGTGTCCATAAATTTGAAGTAACATGAGGAAGTGTAGTTGACTTCATTCTGCAGAACTAAATAAACGCGGAGACTCAAAAATGATTATATATTAAGTAAGCAAATATTTAGTAAAAGGATTGCTAATATTGTGTTATAAACACATTGTGATATTTGAGTTGTCAATAAATAAATGTATATTAATATATTTAGCATCGATCATCTTTCGATCACCTATGATCTAGCTTGCCTTACACATTTTATTATGCGTCCAAAATTAATAAATAAATAAATAAGTAAATAGAGGATATTCAAGTTTTTTTCATCGAGTGGTATGAAAATAAATATTTCATGAGTGGCGGTAGCCACGAGTGAAATATGGTAATTTTCATGCCACAAGATGAAAATAAATCATGTATTTATAGAAAAAACTTGAATTTTCTGTTTATTATATACATTTTTTTCTTTTTTGACATTAAAATTTGAAAGACACTCCCTTAAATGTTGTGTACAGGCAGAATTTAAAAGAAAGTAGTCCGGCAAGACACCAGTGAAAATACGGAAAACATGTTTCACTGCAGTGAAAAATAAATTTTTACAGTGAAAATACGGAAAATGAAAATACACATTTTATAATTATTTCATCAATATTTCTCAATATTTCATTTGTAAGTATATAATAAACCGTCATTTTTTCATCCATTTACTCATTCGTACAAATTGACCTGTTCAATTTTGATTACCTTCCTTGCTTTATACGACTATACCTCCAGCGAAGCTATTAAAAATGTCTTCCATTGTGGATTTCGTGCAGATGAGATATACGGTGTCCGACTTGGGCCATCGTCGGTTACCCCGGTATATATTCCGTACATAATATTATAATAGATAGTATCGTATGTACGGAATATATACCGTGGGGTTACCGACGATGGACTTGGGCCAGCTAAATGACACCTTTTGACGTATTGTTTTCTTCTAAAAGACTTATGTCGCCCTTCTGTATCGTCATAGATAAAGCAGTGATGTTTTACATTCTCGAATAAAACATTTTGCGCCATTCAACGTTGAATTTTTCGCAAGCTTAACTTAACCTTCGTGAGAAACAAAATGTAAGAACATTTGCGATGATTAACCTTAACTCTCGAATGTTTCTTTCGGTTACAGAATCACTTACTATGGTAAAAGTTCTTCGAAAGCGAATATTATATCTCCGTACGTATCAGTCATTTTAGCATTGTTTATGACTGAAAGTGAATTGTGTCCGATTAAAATAAGTGCACAGCAATTTTGTGCAAATAAAATTTGTCACACCTTGCAAAGCCAGAAAGGCCATGTAAATATTTCCTATAGTTTTATATTTTCAACAAAAACGCATGTTATTTTCAGTTAGATCTATTTATTATTAAATGCGTTTATTAATACACGTATATCTGTTTACATATACAGTCAGATACATTTATTACTCGTATTTTCTTTAAAAGTCTCCTTTTACAGACGTGAAGAAGATGATGATAAATTGCTGACTGTCTTTTTCAAGTTTGTAAGAAGACACCCAGCTAGGACAAACAACAATATATCCTCGCCCTCGCCTCGGATAATTTGTTGTTTGTCATAGAAAACTGTCTTCTTAAGTCTGTAAGAAGACACTTTGAAGAAAAAAAACTATTACATACTTAATTAACTAATTATAAAGGAATCGTAAAGCCCCAGCTAACAAACTGCTGCCCGAACTTTAAATATCCTAGAGTTCTTCTGATAACTTTTGTTACTGTCATTGTGTTTCTTGCGCTAAATTACCGCACGATTTAGCGTTTTGTTTTATTCAATTAGGTTGTAAATCATTATTTATAAATATATAATAAAACTCCTGACAAGTTATCAGAAAAACTTCATCCTCCGTCGTGATATGGTCATATGGCACCATTATCATCATTTTCTGTACATTGTACAAAACTGGCAATTTTACCTTCACGGCAGGCCTTTTTCTTACGGAAATTAACCGCCATTTTACGTCATGCTTTTTGGCAAAATATTAAGCAGATTTGTTTGTCTATTGTTACGTGTTTCTTTCTTGTATGAAGGTGAATGTGTGTATTTTCACTTATACAGAAGAAAATCTTTATACAACATACGATCTGTTAAAATATTAAGGATTGACATGCTTAAGATTTCATACCGTATAATGATGATATTAACAACGTAAACTCAAACTATACTTACTTGTTGCAAGCCAGCTTGCCGGCTGGTCACCGTCACAGAAGACTGACCATCTTTCAGCGAGAACTTCATGAAATCTATCTTGTTCTTCAGCACACACATGTTTAGCAGAACACTTTACACACTTGAAGTATTCATCATAATTGCTGCATTGTATAGACATTCCACAAAATTAATATTGGCATAGACCTTAAATCTCTTTTTTTTTAAACCAAGAGGCCATTAATGACGATTTAACACATGTATGGTCAGTATTACACTCACTCTCACTGAGTAAAATCCATATAATTGCCTAACGGTCAAAACAGTGCTCAACTTTTCAGTAAAATAGTATTCAGATAATAAAGTCAGTTTCGAAAAAACTAAGGTAAGTTGAGAATTTGTAAAATTAAGAGGAGGCTTCCCTGTCCTTAATAAAATGAGCCGCGCCACGACAAAACCAACATAATGGGTTTGCGACCAGCATAGATCCAGACCAGCCTGAGCATCCGCGCAGTTTGATCAGGATCCATGCTGTTCGCTATCAGTTTCTCTACTTGTAATATGGTTTGTAAGCGAACAGCATGGATCATGATCAGACTGCGCGGATGCGCAGGCTGGTCTGGATCCATGCTGGTCGCAAACCCATTATGTTGGTTTTGTCATGAGGCGGCTCAAATGATACTGAATACCATCTAGTTTTGAGTATTGATTTTGAATTAATTTCGTCCCGTATACATTTAAGTGCGTCATAAACGGACACTGTCAGTGTTTGAGGATAACAATGTTTAAAAAAAAGGTGCATATGTATAGAGATGGTCCCATTAATTTTTCTGTCAAAAGTTGAATTTATCAAAAATTTCGAGTACACATTTTATGTAGGGGATGATTTGTCGTATGCGTCTATATATAAGGTCTATTTAAATGTTTATGTTATTAACAAATACCATTTAGTTATATAATATTGTTTTGTTTTTAAAATATTGAAATAAAATCTAGTCAGATACAAATTGTATCACACTGCTTGAATTTTGGGATTGACAGATTGACATGGAAATCCCAATCTATATATATAAAGATAGTTTAAAGGAAACGCGACAGAAACAATATTTTTATCGCGTCTTGATTTTCATCGCGTCTTGAATAACCATATGGCATAAAGTAAACTTTCAAAACGTCTGAAGATTTTAATTAAAAAGAAAACCCAGTAAAATCTACAGAGCCAAAAAAACAAAAACAATATCTTTAATATTTGTCAAGCATGATCTATATACTTTACGAGTATTGTGTTTCATTATTATGCTCCAGTTTGTTAATTTAATAACTGTATTATGTTTTACCGCTTTAGGGGTCCAGCATCACAATCAAATAGGTTTTATTTTGGTTTTGTGTACAAAATCAGAGAATCTTATTTAAGAAATTAAAATAACTACCATACGATATTTGCAAAAACCAACGACAAAAAATATTTAAAAAACAGTCTTGTTACAGGCACAATATGCCTCAGAAATCAAATTGTATTTTTTTAGAAAATGGGTTAAATAATGTTTCAATAATGGATTAAAAATATATAAGAAAGTAATTGAAAGTTGCACTTAATGTGCATTAATGTGTTGTAAAGGTAGCTAAATGTAAACACAGTTGTATGTTGACATCCATACAAAATATTAATGTACTTATTATACCACTTGCAGTGAGCATTTTGGTGAGCATTTTGGAAACTGTTACAAGATGCCAAAAATATAAAGTTTTTAAGAAATAGAAATGATAGCATTTCTGAGGCTAGTGTGCCTTTTTAAAATGATTAAGAAAAAAAAACAGAATTGAATACTGAAAAAAAATCATTGACTTTGAAATCTGAATGCGACTTTCAATATAAAGTTTACGATATTGAAATGTAACATTCTTTCAGTTCATCAAAATGTCTGTCAGAAGCCTTTCAATTCATCCTTTAACTTCCCTTCCAACTTTTTTCTATTGTTTTGCTACTTGTTATTCTGGAATTTACAACTTGAAAACTATAAAATTCTCTTTCTCTTTCAATTTCTCCCCATGCTTTTGTTTTATCTAACGTTGATTTAAAATCATTTATTTTTTGTTTTCTTTCAAATTAAATAATTATTTAGACATTTTTCCACTTCTATGAATACACTCTTTTACACGACATGGTTACTGTTTTGCAATGTATATTGAGTTTTGTTATGTAAAAAACTGGATCGATCATCATTTAAAGTGTCCCTAACGAGAGGTCAGACGAATACCACTTGGCACATTGTGAGTTACTAACCGTTAGTCTACTCCATCGTCACTTGAAATGACCTTTCGTGAGTTTGAGATTCAGTATCGTTTCTGAATACGGGCCTCAGCCTTACAAGACCGTTATATACCGTTTAGTTTAAATTATGTTTTTTTTATTTCGTTTAACCAGCTTTGAAAGTTATAAAATTCGAGTATCTCACAGGTCTTCAAGTTTTGTTAGAGTTAGATTTACCGATAGACCATAATAGATTAAATTAACAGACTTTATTTTTACCCATTTCAGGGTAATAACAATAGCTTCAAGTACTGCTTGCGTGCACCTCGGAATGTGTAGTATTTATGTCGTTTATATATTTATAAAAAAAAGGGAATTCAACATCGTACACACATTTAACGTATACCCATTTAGTATAGTTTCATATATAAGCACGGTAATCTTACATAGTACTATTTATTATATGCATATTAAAGATCCTGTAACACAATTTTTTATGGTTTTGTATCATCATCAATATGATGCTCAAATTAAGATTAATCAATTTTGTAAGTTCCAAAAAGCATTATTTATAAACATATTACCATCTTTAACAATTAATGTAATTAAAGCGAGGTAATAAAAAAATTATTTTCTATAAAGTCCGAGTCAATTTTTTCAATAAGAAATAAATGCATATATTTTAGTGATTACATATATTTGCAGTACATATTTTACATATTTCTTCGATGTTTGAAAATTGTTTTATAAGCATAATCATATACATATATGTGCCGCGTCATGATAAAACCAACATAATGGGTTTGCGACCAGTTTGCGCATTCGCGCAGTCTGATCAGGATCCATGCTGTTCGCTTACATATCCTATTATAAGTAGAGAAACTGATAGCGAACAGCATGGATCCTGATCAGACTGCGCTGATCCATGCTGGTCGCAAAAGCATTACGTTGGTTTTGTCGTGACGCGGCTCATATATAATGTCACTTAAATGTGGTATACAACCTCACTTACCACATTCATGATCTTTAACAATTTCTTTACCTGCATGCAAACACTACCTTCTCCAGAAACACATTCGAATTGAACTCATCAATAACATCTATGTTAGTAAATATATCGTCCAAGTATTCTTTCTTCTCACATATGCCTTTATATTTTCCACGAATATGTGTATAAGCGCAACTACTTTCAATTACGGTGAATTGTTCAAGTAGAACAAGGAACACTGAAGGAATTCAAGAATATTTTTATAAAACAATATCTTGACTGGCTTTGCATGTATTTGTGCATTCATTAAACCCATTGCATTAAAATATTTATACATAGTAAAGCAAAAATTAATTGTTTTACTATGTGATGTCATATTTGTGTTTAAAAAATGATACAAATCTAGCAAATAAAATCTGAATTGTAAATAGTTATATGTATATATTCGGGAAATGAATATGTTTAATCTAAATAAATCTAGACACTAATTGTTTTGTTACATAGCAATAAAAACATTAAACTTTAAAATATGCATTTATCTACATGAAGTTTTCCAAAAATATTATATTTAATTATGCCAAAAACAATGCCGTGCTTCTGAAAATATTTGAATCATAACATTTTTACAGACAAAACAAACTTGCCTAAAACAAATAGCATTTTCTCAATATGTATACCAATATTATTTAAGTACATGTGTATTTCCATTTATTTCTAAAGACGGGAAATGAACCAGAAAAGCTTTAACCTGTGTATACTTCAACTTGCTGAACTGAAATATTTTTGTGATCATGGTAAATTTTTCCCCTTTTAAATACAACAGCTGCAATTATATTTGGTCATTTAAAGAGCCTTATTTCAAACGTTATTTCCTAACGGCATGGTGAATTCATAAATATACTAATTACGATAAGATAATGATTATTAATTACTCCGGTACTTTGTTATTAGTTTTAATTATACGTATGTATGTTATAAATTCAACATAGGAAATTAAGTTTGTAATAGAAAGAGCATCGAAACACGAGGCTATCTGAGGGGCGTAGCCGCCGAGTATTAATCAGATTGCTGAGTGTTTTGATGCTCTTTCTCTTTTGTATCATAGTCAAACATAAAACACGTTCCCTGTTGTCACAATATGAAACCCCGGAAAAAAAAATAACCAATGAACTAGCATGTGAATATGATATTTCTGTCGCTTTCCCTTTCTCTTCCGTCACAATAAGTAAACTCCAGCAAAAATGAGCCAATCAATTGGAATGCTCTGGAGTGCGGGTAACTAATACCTGCACCCCAGTTAACGCACTGTGCATGTATATGTATACGATTTAACAACAGAAAGGTTCCCAAACTATGATACAATTACCAATATTGCAGAGTAGCATAATGGTATCAGTAATAGAAAGAGCATCGAAACAAGATCTATCTGATGTGTACGAGGAGGCGCAGCCCCGAGTGTAACTCATGATCAGATTGCCTATAGTGCTTTGATATTCTTTCTCTTTTGTATCGTAAATAAACGTTCACTGTAGTCCTAATACATGTATTATACACCAGTTAATTGTACGTGAATCTGAATATAATTTTTTCTTCGTTAACCCTTCCCCTGTCGTCAACCCCAGGAAATAATGAGCCCCGGCAGATAGTTCAGTAAATACCTGCGCTCCAGTTACCGCACTATGTATGTATTGGTATACGATTTTACTCTGGCACATTTCACTATAGTAATACGGAATTAAAGCTGAACAATTTACTAAAGTATTAACTATGGAACAGGGTAGAAAGGAATAGTATTCTTAGACTGCATATCCAGAAAATTCACAAGAACTGCATAATTTCTTCCCAATTAAAATAGTGAACTTCAATAGTGACCCTAATTCATTTTTGAATGCCTTTAACCTTTTATCCCGTCATTTACTCCGAGATATGACATTTGGAATTTTGATGATAATTAGCTGAAACGATTACCATATACTAGTAATTGTCATTAATGTTAGAATAACCATAATTTACGTACAAAATAATATTCCAGTGAAGTCATTTGGAGTTCATGTATAGGTTAGTGTTAATAATACATATTAACAAAAATAACTGGTCAAGCCTACCGCAGGCAGGCGACCAATTATTTTTGTTAATACATTAACCTATTTAATGACCAACATCATTATTTTCAACCAAAAGCAAGACATTTCTCTAAATCACCGATAGCTCCGCCCTTTCGCTCCACAAGATGTCTACACCTTGTCAAGTTACTAACATGTCACATTTAGATAAGCTAAATAAATGGCCCTTTCAACATATAATCAGGCACATTTCTTTACTGAAATGTCACAGAATTTATACCTTTATTTACAGTTAAAGACTATCATGTTTCTATAAAATATCTGGGAGGAAAACGATGCAATTAGGTAAAAACAATGGAGTTAATGAAATGTGTACATCCTTTTAAAATAAATGGAAAATCCCTATTGATTTGCTCATTTGAAAAACAGTTCACGTTTTTGTCTGTGTGTCGATTTAGGTTTACAGGTGGAGGGGGTCCATTTTCAATGAGTTTTCCAGCCAAAAAATGTAATCATTGTATTCTTGATATCAATGATTGTTAATGCAGTTCATTCCTATCAAACATGGATATTGTTTCTTTCCTGTGTTTCCAACAGGTCTATGGAACTTCGCAGCATATATTTAAAACATATGAATTCATATTGAAACTTTGCTTGGAATCACCACGTGACATTGTGCCAGCAACAAATTTAACTTACAGAAATGCCTTTTGCATAGTAAAGTATAAAATTGAACACGATCAAGGCAAAGTGTAGAATTATTTTGACTTTTACCTTTGCACTCAAAATTTACACTTTGGTGGGCATAATGTCGTTTAATAAAAGATCTTGCCAACATGTGCGCTTTGTTAAAAATAACCTTTGTGCATGGTATCATGTGTTTGGGATATAACGCCATCTGAGCCGTAATCATCAGCCATTGCTCAAGCTAATAAGTTGGATTTCGGCCTCGAATACGCTCTCGGTGTCACATGAAACTCGTGACTAGGTCATTCCTAAACAGAAAGACCTTGTCCAATACCTCTGTATTATATTCCTGTTAGATAAAAGATAGTTTTAAACTTGCTTTTACAAAATTGTCTTTTATGCCTATCAGATAATTTTCCCCATTATCTTCACAAAAGAAAGCGAGCATGTATTAAATTACAAATATAATTTCATCACCCTCGCCAAGCTTCGTTCATTGTGAATTGATACAATCGAGGACTGCATTTTGTTAAAATAACTATTCTTTGTTGACATTTGTAAATATATATATTTTCAAGTTTCATAGATCAAACGTAAGTTGTTTATAGACAGATAGATATCGAGCGCATAGGGTAAATAATAATTTGCAAGTCAGGTGTGTACAAATTCTTTAAATGCAATCTGAAGTAATCAAATTTGAACTTCCTTATTGTCCAAATATTTATGGCGTTAATTAAGTATGTCCGATTCAATATGTGAGTAAAGATTAACAAGGAAAATCAGCGTTTTTCTAATCTCTTATCAAACCGCCCATAAGAACACCAAACAGATAAAATGTGATGAATGTCTCTTTTAGGAAAAAATGTGACAATAACTTTACCACATTTGCTTTGTATATGATAAATAAGCAATGCGAACATGATTTTGACAGTGACATTTTCTAAGAAATACCAAGCCTATATATAAATGTTTTTATTTTAATTTGATGAAATTGAATTACAGAAATTCAGATTCATCCATTACACACTACAAATTATTTCATGCCAATGATGATTGTTTGCTGTTGAATATCAACCATATCAACTGTGGAATTGTCCGTCTTAACATCTCATATTCTATGCGAAACAAAAAAAAACAACAATGATACAATTATCATACGTTACATAAGCTAAGTGTGCTTGGCAGATCTAATTAATCTACAATATTTCTAAATTAAGATTTGATGAACGACAAGATAACTTTTTTTAAAACATATTCTAAATATTTTGTTTAAGATATTCCAATCTAATCTGAAAATTATTTATTGAAAATATATATAAACAGAAAGAAACAGTATTCATAAATCAATACCTGTAACGTTTGAATTTCCTCTTTATCTATGTAAAATAGCATGCCCCATCCTGAAGAGACTTCCAGCCAGGAAACTAGTAAGATATCTTGCCATGATGAGTCACAATTAATAATGTCGTTCTTGAGAATAACAGCCATGCTACAGCTGAATACGTTTTGCCCGACTCTACAAAACATTTGATAATTTTGCTTTGTAATAAGTGTTTTCATGTAAACTCCATTTTACGCTTTTTACTATCAAAAATACACACCCAAACATTTTTGTATGTATTACATATGTACATAGAGTTTACGATTTTGTTTCGTTTGCCCCGCGTGTTAAGTTTTAACATTAATCAATTTAAACTCAGTTACAAAATTTGCTTTGCCAAAGAATATTTGTTATTTTCGAGACACTTTTATAGAACAGAACAGTACAAGCGTTATATGTGGCCTGAATAGAGCTCGAATCTACGATTCTTAGACGGGGGACAGACAACCTAGCCACTTGGCCATCCGCTAGTATTTTGATGTATTTACCTTAAAAAATGATTATTGGAAAGGCGTGTTTCAATGAGCTTTTATTGACATTCTCCGTGACATTATTATCAGGCTCATCTAAAAAAACCCATAAAAAGTAGATAATAATAAAGGTAGACAAGTAACAATAGAGTCTGTTTAACGAGGAATAACAACTCAATTTAACCATGAATTGCACTTGAAAGCACATGTATAATTGGCGTCCGCGCCGAAGCGCCACGCCCTTATGGAATAAGAAAGGGAAATTGCAACTTCTCGGGCCTTTTCGTCGGCCATAATAGCCGAATATTCCGATTGGTATGAGTGTTTGATTATCAAAAATGAAATGTCGAGATATGTAAAATGAATAGCGAACTGGATAATTTCGCAATGTTAACATATTCAAATGAAATTATCTTATCCGTCAATTAATCGCGCTCTTCGGTATTTTTGTATATCGTTGGAACGATTATTGAATTTTTCCAACCAGCAGTGTATTTTCGCAAGATTTGCATGTGCAATAAAATTTTAGTAGATCATCTAAATACATGTGGTTTTGTATACTGATTATAATCATAACTTAGTTGTGTTGTGATCAAAGAGAGGAACAAAAGGTTAATTGGAAAAAATCGTTGGTTATTAGGTAAATGCGCGTTAGAAGTAAAAACGGATCTAGATTTAGTTTATGGAGAAAATGCCCTTCCATATCCTGCAATTGCCAGATGGGTCTCAATGTTTAGGGAAGATAGAACTAATCTTAAGGATGATCCCCGCCCTTGGCGGCCAATTTTCGCTAAAGACATCAGCACTGTCAAAGCCATAGTTGATTAAAATGCTAAATATACCGTGGAGGAGATGAATGAATATTGGGCATGAGTGCGTCATATGTGTTGTCCATCTTGAAAGAAAAGTTAAAGTCAGGGAAAGTGTGCGCCCGTTGGATCCCGCATTTGCTAACTTGCTGACCAGAAAAGGGAGCCGATGCAAAAAGCCCTGGCCTTATTTGTAGGTTCAAAGATCAAGATCTAGCCTGAGATAAATTGCCACAGGGGATGAAATGTGGCTTTAGATATTTTGAGCCCGAAAATAAACCCAGTAACAAAATGTAGGTAAGTGAATTCAGCGATCGCCCATTTGTTGTTGGTCCGAGTGCGCAGGATCAAATTAGTACATGATAATGTCCCTGCTTACCGGTCAGCACTGGTTCAAGCTTATTTAGAGGAGCTGAGAAATGATGTTTTGCTACATGCCGCTATAGTCTTGACCTTTCTATTTGTGACTTTTGGTTAGATCCATACAACAAATGTTGCCTTCGCTGTCGCCGGTTCGAAACCCGTAGTGTCATCGGAAGTGCTCTCAACCAGGGTATAAACAGTATACCCAAAATACAGTTCAAATGCTCATTCGGAATGGATTCTGAGGCTAGAAAAAGGCGTAGTGGTCCATGTTGAATATTTTGAAGGACTATACTCATCTTTTTTCATAGGTATGACTTATTTATATATAGACGCGCTGCCGTTTCCACTAATTAAGTATGCCCTTTGTAATTACCTACCTACTACATCAATGATATAAGTAACAGAAAGAGCATCGAAACACAAGGTTATATGATTTGTACGAGGGGGCGTAGCCCCCGGGTTCATAAATCAGAATGCCGAGTGTTTATTATGTTCTTTCTCTTTTGTATCATAGTCAAAAATAAAAGCACGTTCCCTGTCGTCAAAATATAAAAAAAAAACAGAAAAAGTGAACCAATAATCGAACATCTGAATATGATATTTATCTGTCGGCACAATAAGTAAACCCCAGAAAAAAATGAGCCAATCAACGGGTATGCTCTGGAGTAACTGATACCTGCACCCCAGTTAACGCACTGTGCATGTATATGTATAAGATTTAACTCAGACACATTTTCAACAGAAATGTCCCCAAACTATGATACACATACATGTTGTTTCACTTTCTACCTAAATTACCAAAAATAACTCTTGTTTATTCTTTCAGACAACTTTAAAAGATTTTTTACCAGCATTTTTTTTATTCATTCAGGGAAGAACTCTTATTATTTTTAAGCAAATGTATTTATTTCACAACTTCAAGCGTTTGCACCATTTTATCTTCCAATATAAATAATATTTGTATCCAGTGTTATTAATGTAGCATTGTTTTCCATTTTACAGTTCGAAATTTCATATCAAATCACTAGTCTACTCAATTTAGCCTCGTTGTTTTCATTTTTAGGGCCAAACATGTACATATAAAGTCAATATCCAGCTCTTAAATTCGGTCAAAATTTCAATATCATTTTGCGTCATTGAGCTTAATTGCTTTTATTGCTTTTATTGCACTGCTTTTATTGCTGCAAAATCTTTTTAAGGGTCGGCTAGCCCTTTGTTCAATATAAATTTTATAGATGTGTACTTGGTCAAAAGAATACAGTATTCAATATAATAACCTCATAAGATTTACATACATGTATTTATATTACAGCTTTATGTACTTTAAAATAACAAAGTATGTATAAAGAGATATTATACGTTTGATACTTACCTTCTGTATTCATCGACAAGCCCTGACAAAGAGGTTTCATTGCTGCTCTCCTCGGGAGGCTGAGGAGGTACGCAAGAATTTAATGTTTTCATAAATGTGGATCGACACGAGACATTGTAATTCAGTCCATCATGCAATACTGAAATATAGAGGGTTAATAATTATCAAATATTTCACCAAAAATAGTTTGAAATTTAATTTAAAGGATTGTTGATACTGCATCTGTGTAAAAATGGCATTGTGCTTTTAAAGTTGTCAATGAATAAATGTTTATCGAGTTACTTAAATACAATACATAATAAAGTCTATTTCATAAACAATTGGTAGCGATCATTTATCGCTTATATCGATGTATTCCGTGATAATGGGCTATAATGATTCTTTTAGACATAAGCCGCTACTAAACGTACGTCACGAATGCGTACATGATATTAAATAGTTTTGTTTATGACAGCACGAAATTGTTGGTGTTTGAATTTATAACGTTTGCTATTCGAGGGTTTTCTTCAGCTCCTACATTTGTATTTCATTTCACTATTCCTAAGATCGATAGATATTCAATGTGAAGATTAATACATCACAAGTCAGATTATAATTGAGCCGCGTCATGACAAAACCAACATAATGGATTTGCGACCAGCATGGATCCAGACCAGCCTGCGCATGCGCGCAGTCTGATCAGGATCCATGCTGTTCGCTTACGAACCATGTAACAAGACGAGAAACTGACAGCGAATAGCATGGATCCTGATCAGACTGCGCGGATGCGCAGGCTGGTCTGGATCCATGCTGGTCGCAAACCCATTATGTTGGTTTTGTCATGACGCGGCTCATATATTTTACGTACTCTTAATTACACTCACTTCTTACAAGCCAACTTGCAGGTTGGTCATCGTTACAGAAGATTGACCATCTATCAGCGAGGATTTCCTTTAATTTATCTTGTTCCTCATAACACACGTGTTTGGCAGTACAATTAGCACATTTGGAGTATTCAGCGTAATTGCTATAAAAAAAGAAAATAGAAATGCCCCCCAAAAAGTAATTGCATGCTGAGGCGATGATTATCAAATACAGGAGCAACCCTAAGTTTGAATTATAGCAAGTTTACTTGCCATACAGTTTTATGGCACATAACATGTAAAAACTATAACAACTAAATTATAAAAATAATTTTAGAAAACCCAAACGAATTAGTGTCTTGAAAATATCAGAGTTTCAGCCTTGTAGCCGAGATTGTGTTCCAAAAAACAAAATAACATTTTATCATGTTAACGGTAAATGAGTGCAAAAAGGGATATTTTAAATCTATAATTTAAACAAGTAGCCTGGAACCCCACGTGTGTAAATAATCGGCAGGTGGCGCAAGATAAAAATTATTGCGAGATAATTAGATACAATTGTGAGATCGATACAATGGCGTTCGAGTATATATACGCTAATCATCTTACAATGTATTTCTTTGCTCACAAATACTCTTTACATAACAAATAAGAGTCATTTATTTCAGCTTTTCTACAAATATAAGCAAGTCATTTTAAAAATCAGCCGGTTGAAACATCATTTCATAAATCTGTTTGAATTTACGTAAAATTTATATAAAATACAAAATATTCAATTTCCAATCGGAAATCTTTCAATTATAACTAAAATTAGTTTAAAACAGGCACAACAAAATTTTAAATTTTGACATTTAGTTAAATATTCGGCATGTCTACAGGTTCTAAAATAATGTAATCGGTGCTCAATACAACCAATCAAAACAACTGAATGTTTGTCTAAATTAGTTCCGCTAACGTGTATATCATTTCTATCACAGACTGTATGACACAAGTAATTTCATTTTACTATGAAATGCCATTATATTCGAACAGTTGTATTCATAAAAGTGCAGTAATACTCTGTATTATGGTTCCTGATTATCAACGCGACAAGAAGAAATAGACCTTTTTATTGTAGCCTCCAAACGAATCACAAAATAAACACGAATCTTTACTGGAAAAAGGTTTCCCTTTCTAGAATGATCTGAATATAGCAATAAATATGCCCTAAAAAGGGTTCGTGTCTGAGGACACACGTGATCTTCCTCCACCGGGAAAGCTGGAATGTCGACATATTCATTCACTTTTCGCGCATTAAAGCTGCATGCCTCCAGATGAGCCAAAATATTTCAAGAAAATCAATATTGAGAAAAATGCACTAAACTTTTAAGAAAGGTAAAAACATTCAAGATCCAAGTTATATTTTACATGTTATGTGCGGTTTAACACTGATTTTGCAGTATTTTATCACCATATTTCTACTGCGTTACTAACGCAGTAAGGGCTGTTTTTGCATATGTTGACCACTTTTTGGTAATTTTCGTGGATTGTAAGTGCCGATTGCAATATGTAAATTACTTTATTTGTTCACCTCACATTATTTTACTTTTAAATACATTTCCAAAATTTTTATGAAAATTAACATGAATCTGGAGGCGTGCTGCTTTAAAAACAAACATGCAAAGAAACACACATTTATATAACAGAGAAAGTTAATCATATAAGGCGTGTATAAAATGCACATTGTTACAAAACATATACATTCAAATAAAATTAAACATTACTTCCATCATCAAAGTTTACATTGTTTCGTAGCAAAGTGTCATATAATGATGCAAATATACATAGATTGTATTAACAATTCATAGAAAATAAAATGAAATTAAGGAATATTACAAACAAGATTACATTTTATTATAATTATGTCTGAAGATTCGTTTGATTCAAATCCCTCCGTTAAAATTATATAAAATTTCAAACGTTTCTGTACTCAATAAATCAATAAATGAGCCGCGTGACGACAAAACCAACATAATGGGTTTGCGACAAGCATAGATCCAGACCAGCATGCGCATCCGCGCAGTCTGATCAGGATCCATGCTGTTCGCTGACAAACTCTATTACAAATAGAGAAACTGATAGCGAACAGCATGGATCCTGATCAGACTGCGCGGATGGTCTGGATTCATGCTGGTCGCAAACCCATTATGTTGGTTTTGTCGTGACGCGGCTCAAATTTGTACATGATCGGATTACACATAAGAGAGATACATTACCTGCAAGTAGTCACTAGCTTCTCTAGAAACACTTCCGACTTGAGTTCGCCATCAACAAATAGATCAGTAAATAGTTCATCCAGGTATTCTTTCTTCCTACAAGAATCCTGATATTTTGCATTTATATGTCCATATTCGCAGCTGCTTTCAATTACTTTAATTTGTCCGAGTAGAGCAATAAACACTGCAGAATTAAAAAAAAAGAAATTCATGTTCTTGTCTCGCTCTGGGTATATTTGTAAAATACATTATTTAAAACAACATTAAAGTCATATACACGTGTTCAGAAGAAATTTAATTATCTAGTAATATTATTGTATTACTCCGTGATGTCTTTTTTTTAAACAGATGGAAAGAAAAAGAGATAACAATCTAGGAAATAAAAAGAGGATGCTTGTATTTGTCATATGATAAATATTTAATATATGGCATAACACAACATAGCAAGAAAAGCATGAGTTAAAAATTGTCCGTACATTTATCTACAAAGTTATATCTTTATATGTAGTTATTTTCTTTATTTTTTTTTAAATAAATACATTTGTTTAAAAATAATAAGAGTTCGTCCCTGAATAAAAAAAATGCTGGTAAAAATCTTTTAAAGTTGTCTGAAGGAATAAACAACAGTTCGTTATTTTCGGACCTTAAATGTAATAGCAAACGATTAAAAATGCTATTCAATGACAAGAACGTGATTTTAAAAAATAAATTAACGAGACATATTCTTACCCAAAACATGTAACATTTTCTTAAGAAGAAGATGTATTCAAATGTTAAATAATAGTTCCCTATTTTTAAGACTGAATAGCAATGTAGCTGAAAGCTTTTGAACGATGATTATTTTTATGAAATATCTTTGAATAAAAAATGTTTTGCCCATTTATAATTAACACAAATTGCAATTACCTCAGCTGATTATCAGAGCTGTATTTATAAACTTATTTTCCCACAGGCAGGGAAAATTAATAAGCAGAGAAAATGTGAGATACTTCCGTCATAATTTGCCACAATGGCCAGTTATAATTGCTTGTACTTATACGGAATAGTTTGATGTAAAATTGACTTGGTAGCACGGTAGAAAGAATGTGTATTTTATTTTTTAACACAGGACTATGTGACCAAATAAAAAGGTTCAAGAGTAATTCAAGACAAAAATGCGTACTAAAAATGCCAAAACATCTACACTTGTTACTTACGTGTCACATTGAAGGTTCCATGATAACCACCATATGAACACATCTGCGGATGTTTCAAAATTCAAAATTGTATCAGTTCATGTTAAATATTGAATTCTGCGAAATAACTACATAAGTTTAAGATGGATGCTTATAGGTTAGCGGGGTAAATTATTCAAATAGAATGAATACTAATCTGGATTATATGTCTTATCGTCATTGTATTCTTTTTGTATGTATATTTTGTTTGTTTGTTTCATTTTACGCCATTTCCAAACATTATTTCAGTCATATAGGCGGGTAGTTTCCTAACCATCGTTCCTGGAGAGTTACACCAGTACTAGACTACCTTCCTCCGTGCTAAACTACCAAAGCATCTCCCGTTGATCGAACCCACGCCAGAGAGGTAACTGGATTAAAAGTCATCGACTCTAACCCCTCGACCACGGAGGCGGTTTTGGTATGTAACTTATTGCACCAGTTAAACAGTATTAAGATAATGACTACTTATAAGAAAGTAATACCCCGGTACTGTTGTCGAAAGTAAAGTTACTTTCGAATGCATCTCTCATACTGATCAGGAAAATACTCCTAAAATAAGACATTTTGATTAATTGTGTAACAATTTTTATTATTTCGAGCATAAATTATATAAGTAAGATTGTCAGATATATTTATTGGATTAAGTTTGTGTTTTAACGTAATTCACATTTTCGCCTTAGATAATTAAACTTTAAATTTTTCAACTTTTCATATATTATTTCTGTCTCGAATAAGATCAAATGTCTTATTTCAAGATTAGTTTTATTATTACAGTGTTAGCTACTATATTTGGACACTGGAAGCAGTTGCAAGTATAAAACGATTCTTAAAAGATATGAGTACTCGTGCAAGAGAAAACACTATCTGGAAGATATATTTACTGATCTAGGATCAAGTCAGGCGTGTTTCAGTCTACTTGCTGGTAATTTATCACAAAACATTGATCATATAAGTAATATTAAGTTAAACATATACAATGAATATATAAATTATAGATGACAAAATTATGTTAAATAACTGTTTTCCAATTCTGTAGCAATTACGCTGAATACTCTAAGTGTGCCAATTGCACTGTTAAGCACGTGTGTCCAGAGGAATGAAACAAAATTCAAGGAAACCCTTGCTGAAAGATGGTCAATATTCTGTGACGATGACAAGCCAGCAAGTTGGCTAGCAACAAGTGAGTGTACTTTTAATACAGATTGCAAAAACTTAAACCATTTGAATAATTAATTTAATTTGAATACTAGTTAAAAACAACATCTTATTTTGTAGTAGAAATTGTTTGGAGTAATCTCTCAATATTATGAAATAATCTTGAAACAGAATTTTCCTTATTCTACTACTCTAGTCAACAATGTTCAAAAAAATTTATTCATTTTTAATATTTATCTGATTTGCTCTTTTTTCTGTATTATTCTAACCAAAATATGTGCATATGTTCTTTTTACTGCAAGTATCTTATGTGTGGAGAGGAATTTACGTAAGTCACATTTGACTTGTTGTCCAATCCACGAAATTTATCAGTGTGATTGTATATGCTTACTCTATATATTTATGGTGTATAAATTGAAAAAAAAAAAAATATTGTTTTATACTAGAAACTTGAAAAATCCAAAGTGTAATATTTTTTAATCACACACTCAAGTGGATATAAAATTTGAAAACAATAAATAGCTATAAAAGGTAATCTTTCAAGTGGACAGGTAAAAGAATTTTCACATTTTTTATTTTAAATTGTAAATTTATATTCAAACAACAGCAATGGCAAACCGAAGTAAACAGTGACAAAAGACATATATTGAAAACTAATTTCATTTTCTTAATTTGAATTAGATGGTCAGTGCACCTCTTTACGTGCATTAACATCTTCTGAAGTAAGAGAACGCTTTAAATATAGCTCGTGTCCACATACTAAATTTGTCAAAGGGCCTCTGCAAATGTTTTGGCACGAAAAAGGGTGAATTAGTTATTATGTTTTTCGTGTAAAGAAATGTCTTGCTTTCTACATGCAAGTGCGATGTCACTTGACAGTTATGTTTTGAAAATAAAACAGGGACTGTCATTTAACATTGCAACCTGAGACGTGCATATAAAAATCCACAACTGCAACATGTCGTCACGTTAATTTATCCGTTAATGCATGTTTTCTTTTCTGTTAATATATACATGCGCGCGTAGTTTTATGGAAGAGTATTGTTTGTTTTAACACCGATTTTATGACATGTATTTTTTGTATCATATCTCGGCGATCGGCTCACCTGGATAACTGACTAGAAACAATACAGATTTCTCTGCAAACGACCGGCTACTAATCCCACATTTATATGATTCAGCTGATAAATGACTATAAGACTCAAATATTGACACTAAATTTGTATGTACTCACCTCCAACTTGTATTATTGACCTGCGTGTTTATACTATACAACAACATTACAACATGCGAAAACAAAACGAGAAAAAAAACCTTATCAAATCTGATTTCTTTTATAAATTTAGATCCTTTAAATAATCCGCGGTGTATTTGTGTCCGTTTAAAATACAGACCTAACATAATTATACAAATGTAATATGAAATAACGTATTGTTTTATAGTCTCGTCCAAGACATGTTCAGCTGCAGCCTAAATGGTATTCTGAAGAACGGCAATGGTGGTTGTGGCTCATCGTAGCAGGATAATTATCTTGTTAACAAACTGGCTTATGACCTCTCTCAAATTCTACAAACTGTTTTATATAGGAACTGAGGAGATTACACAGTTACAGGTAAAAATAATACTAATAACCATTGCTCATACTGGTATTTTCCTGATAAACATACAGATATACGGACAGTGCATTTTGAGACAGAGATCGTTTTAATTAAATGACCACTTATTATATATATATGTATATATATATATATATTATATATATATATATATATATATATATATATATATATTCACACATACCTTCATATAGGTTTGTGAAAAATATTTGCATCTACAAAATACCTTTCAAAAACACTGGATCCCAAGGATACAAGAACGTGGAAAAACAATAAATTTGGAGAAAATAAACGTTCATATCCTCCCACAACGAACTACGTCCACAACATAACTTCGACCGGCCCCGGAAAATAAATAAAACAAGGAAGTTACGTATCGCTTCCGGTAGTCCGCGCACATATTTGTTTACGGTAACAGCAGAAATGTCAACAATGTAAAATCAGCCGATATGGAGATTAGAAAGGTTTGTTTTATCCCATTTGTTTAAAATATGAAGATTTTATCGATTTTCACCTATTCCCAAATTTAACGATTGAAAAAAATCAATTTTTATATAAAATTTCTACATACAACTTTTACTACTTGCGTCTGCTAAATTATGCTTGTACCAGGGCCCAAAAACCACCACCATACCATTTGTGTAGTATACTGTCAATAATTAATAGCGGGACAAAATGCATCACTGTCCTTACACCAATATTTTGTAATTTGCTAATTGGAATTTAATTGATACATATACTCATGTATACATACCCTATTTATTTTTCTTTATATAGCCCAAAGTGGATGTCAGGGGTCCATACAGGTCCTATGATGTTGAAAGATTGACTGAGGCCTATATTGCTGTCAAGGAAAATGCAATGAGTATTAGGAAAGCAAGTGCTCTTTATGGTGTGCCCAAAACTACATTAATTGACAGGCTAAGTGGTAAAGTTCATGTTGACTGTGTAACCACAGGAGCTCCAACATTATTCGCTCAAGAACAAGAGGCCTTGTTAGCAAGGCATATACAGACTATGGCTGAGGTAGGCTATGGTTACAGCAGACAAGAAACTATTAACTTGGCATCTGACTTTGCTGTCAGCTTAGGGTTAAGGGACAGAAATCATCCATTAACTGATAGGTGGTTATATCAGTTTATTCGTAGGTGGCCAGAACTGAACATTAAGAAGCCAAGGAGTTTAGACATGGCTAGAGCCAGAAGTGCAACAAGGGAGGCTATTGACTGTTATTTTGATGCACTTAACAACATAATGGTGAAGTACCATCTAGTGGCTAAACCCCATTTAATGTATAATGTAGATGAGAAGGGACTGAACTCAGAGCATAAGCCACCAAAGATTGTGTCTGGAAAACACCACAAAGTTCAGGCAGTAACATCAGGCAGGTCTAAAACAGTTACAGTAATAGGATGTGTAAATGCTGTAGGGCAACAGGTTCCACCTTATTTTGTCTTTCCTGGTGCACGAATGATAGATTCTCTAATGGAAGGGGCAACACCTGGGTCTAGTGCAACTGTTACACAGTCTGGCTGGTCAAATACGGAAGTATTCTCTACATACATGAAAGACCATCTCTTGAAATACTTACCTCCAAGATCTCCTGAAGAACCAGTTCTGGTATTATATGATGGACATAAGAGCCATGTTGCTTTAGATTTAATTCAGTGGGCTAAGGCAGAAAATATCATCTTGTTTGTGTTACCTCCCCATTGCAGCCACCTCCTTCAACCTCTTGATGTCAGCTGCTTTGGGCCTTTTGAAATAGCATGGAATGCAGCCTGTCATCGTCACATGAGAGAATCTGGTGGAAGTATTGTTACCAGGTATGATGTTGCCCGTCTTGCTTGTAAAATCTATGCATCTACTTTGACACCAAGCAATATACAATCGGCATTTAAGCGATGTGGTGTTTTCCCATTCAATAGAAATGCTGTATCAGATTTACAGGTGGCACCGTCAACTACATTTGATAGGGATCAATCTGGTCAAGATGAAAGATTGAAAAGTGGCAATGTTGGGTCTAGCGGTATGTCTGATGCTGAGCATTTCCTGGAGAAACGAGGAGGACAAATTCTTGAAAATGTGCAGAAGGCCAAAACAAAGAGAAATACACTAAGTAAAATTGTTGGTGGAAAACCAATAACTGAAGATAACATTGTTGAACAAATCATTGCCCATAATGAGAAATATGACCCAAAGCAAAAAAGCAAACAAATTACCAAAAACAAAGCTAAAAGTTCAAATAAGAAATCCCCCAAACCTGGAACATCTGGAGCTTCAGTTAACAAAAAAAGAAAAGTTAATCCTCCTATTGAAAATAGTTGTGAAAGCTCAGATGAAGAAAATGTTGAAGAAAATGAGAAGTGCATTGTATGCAAAAATTTCAGCCCAGACATAAGTAAGCGGCCATATGTGATAATTGTGAATTGGGGACAGTGTGAGAAATGTTCAGGTTGGGTTCACCTGTCATTTTGTACACCTGTCAAGGCCATCAGGCGGGGAGACAACTTTTTGTGTCCCTCCTGTAGTGAAATGTAACTGTAGACTAACTATAACCATGTAAATACGTTTTGTTGACAGTTAATTATAATTCAAAACAGTTTGTTTAAAAAGTTTTATAAAGTTTTTAAAATGACAGTTAATATGGACACAAACTTTTTTCCTGAAATATACTATTACACCCAGTAAAAGGTCAAGGTCAAAGTGGTCGAAGTTCGGTTGGATAAAGTCCGAGTAACACATGTGAGGGAGCTTCCATTTTATTTGAAATGTAAACATTATCAGTGCAGGTAGGAATTATATACTATTTCAGTTATTACAGGTTTGAATATGTTTTTTAAATTATGCATTAAAATTAAATATATTTTTCTTAATAAAAAAAACCTAAAACCGGAAGTGTGGTAAAGTGGACGAAGTTCGGTTGTACCGGGATACAGTGCTAAAGTATAAATACCCAAGTACTTATGGCGTATTATGCCTTCATCAGGGGTGTATTACATGTATAATGGGCACACAATCGAGCACAAAATCTCAATACGTGTGTACTGTATAGTATCAAAAATTGAACTGAAACACAGTCGCTAGAAAGGTGATAAAATTACATCGATTATGAATAGACCGTTATTGAATGGTCATTGTGTAGTACTTAACAAAAGAAATTATAGCCTGCGGTCAATATGGCATAAACTCGGTTAAATATATCTATAAAAGTATGTTTAAAAAAAATATATATATATATATTAAATAAATAAAACTTCACATATCAGGGCGTTTGTGTTTTTATTACTAAAAGTATGATGTTAGAAAATGCAAGTTACAAACAGTGTGATGTTATATGAAGTGGAAATTTACGATAAGGTGAAAGTAATAAAGATGCTCTCAGGCAAGGGAGAAATAGCCCTCCCCGACACCGCCTGATAACTAAAGTTAGGTTGTAAACAGTTTGTCAAGAATGGGCGAGAATAAGTGTGTAAATTAGTCTCCTTTATTGATTCCTGATGGCTCTAGCGTATTCAGTCGGCGAATCCAGTATGTCTCGCGTGATTTCCGTGTTATATACCTTATCGTAAATTTCCACTATATATATTGTCAGGCCGGTTCCGAGTCAGGATTATAACAATAGTCACAACAAATTTGTAAAATTAAATAATTCTTTTAATTTTTTATATCACTCAAATAATAAATTTATTTGACAGTCAATAATAAACAAATACATGTAATAAACAAATACATGTAATAAATAGAATAAATATTACTTAAAATACCTTAATATCTTTATCTTTCATTTCTAAGACTGTTATTCGATTTATAGCTTTTATCTTTCTGTTATCAATTTCAGTTATCTTTTACGTTATCTTTTCCGTTATCATTTCCGTTATGAACCTTTAATTGAAATTCGGTCTATTTATATGCTTCTTTTGTGTACATATGACGTCAAAATGAAAATAGGATTTCCCGTAAAAACTGGGTTAATGTGACGTCACAATATAATTATAGTTAACAAAATGGCGGACTAATTTCAGACAATATTTGATAATGAGGAAAAGTGACATATATAAGAATATATAAACAATCAATCATGACAGGATATAAATGTAAGTTAATTTAAAGATGAGACAATAAAGTTATGTTTATACTCGAAACCCATGATACCGGTGACTCCTCGGTACCGGTATATTCACAAATCTCGCGATATTTTTGTCAACACCACCTACCGAGTGTTTATATTGACATGCTCCCAGTAATATTGGCTATTTCAAAGTTTTAAAACATTTTCATGAGTTTCTGAAGGAAATATTTCACATATCCTACCTTATTTTTATTTTACTATCCTATTTTACCATTGCATAAATTAGTCTCTCTACAAAACACTTTTTTTCCAAGAAAATAAAAAAATGACAGGTGCTGACGTCATTCAACCTCCATTACATGTTACTTGACCTTTTGACATCATTTTTGGCGGGAAAAAATTAATCTATGGAAAGCCATTAGTGCATATAAAACAGTTTGTGAAAATTGAAAAGTCAGTTTCATTCTGTCTTTTAAGGGAGCCTGTGTAAAGTGCCAAATTGATATTTTATCTGCATCATATAGAAAAAAATAGATTCAATGATATAAAAGGACCAGAAAATCACAACAACACTAAGATTAGGTGAAGGGGATTTTTTTAATCCAGTCACATGGTATAATATACACCTGTAATTGGAAGTAAAAGATTCTTAAACAGAGATCCCTTGGGGGGGGGGGGTATAAAAGATGAACAGTAAACTATTGAAACACACATTTTTTATGTTGTTTTTAAGTTATTTTTTTAGATGTGAATACAAGAATGCTAAAATGATATTTTTGCAATTAAAACTGCAATGGCTTTCCATATAAATAACATTTTTACCAGTGCACCGGTAGCATGAAGTCTGTTTAACTACGTCATACAAAATGGTCCACCATTGTTTACATTTCTTGTGAGCAAGAATTTCAGATCAACAGAACTCTGTAATGTATTTTTAAGAGGATTAAATGTTAATGAAGTTGTTCATTCCTTATTTTTTTCAAGTAAGTAAATTTTTATATGAAAAACACCTTGTATAAAATATGTACACCGGTATCGTGGAGACCCGGGCTAATTGTAATTGCTGAATATCGTATCAGCATGGTAAACAAATGCGGTCAATGAAACGGAGTGGGTGGGGAACAGCCTAGCACTACCCCCACCTTTCAAAAGAATTGTCCCAATTCTTAACTGTGGTAAGATTACAAATATTATTATTATTATTAGCAACATCTTAAATTAACATACATAAATATAACAGTATTACATATTCAATATTGAAATCAAATGTTATTAACAATTATTTTACATGAATATCTTTATATTTTTGTTTTTGTAATACTGTCCATAGTACATTATTAAATATACCCTACAATAAATAATTTGCTATCAATAGTTAAATATATGACATTGTAAGGTAAAACATATTTAAATATAACGTTAATGTCAACATAAAACAATATATATACTATAATAATCATTAATTTGTCCAATGTTTATAAAAGTTAATTTTTCATTATTTATAATAATGTTTTTTTTTTTTTTTATTGTTTTCTTCTTCTTCCAGGCTACATGGT